ATCCTGTCAAACATATCATTTTTTCTTTTGCCTTCCTGATAAGACAATAGAATCGATAGCTCTCAATCTAACATGTCTTAAAATGATTAATGTATTTTCCAATAGCGAAGAGATCATCAAGAAGCTCTATAAGAATATGGAGCAACTCGAACATCTTCATATAACTATTCTTGACATTAACGAATTCGGTAAGTCGGATGAAAATATATGTGAAAAACATATTAGTATTGAACAGCATTCAACTTACAAGTGACTAACATCACTGATGCCTACAGCACAAACATATTGTCAATCACTTTTCTAACACATTGGTATATCATGTTTAACACATATTGCGTAGACCAGTGAACATAGCACTTTTTTTTTGTCTTATTCGTCAGTCAATGAACTTTTTGATCCCGTTAATGACATGACAACTCTGAGTTTTGCAGATTTTTTGAAGAACAAGTTCTCTGTAATAAAGTATTTTTCTAACAGAATTTGAAAAGTTGCTCAAAGCTGAAAAACCAAAAAGTAATGAGGAAAAAAGAAATATTTTCAGTATATTTTTGAAGTTGTTGCATAAAATATACAAGAAATCAGTATTTTCAACAACTAATTCCTCGATATTTGATCTTTTAGGTCAAACATACTAAAAACGAATGGAATCTATGCTTTCTTTTTTTTTGCCGACTCTTAGTTTTGATCACAAATATTAGCTAATAAAATCGTAAAAAATATTTGACAGCATAAGAACCTTACAGATCGTTGATGTGGATGGACTGTATAGTTCGAATGGTTAATATGGACCCATACAAATTTCCCTAGAAAAGAATATTTCTTACGAATTAAGTTAAATTTGATGTCAATTTATCCTCAAGCAATATTCTATAGCAATATCTTGCTAAATTTCTAGAGATGATGCAAGTCCCAAGTCAAATTTGAATCTAAAGCTCCTATGAATTCTGTGACTCAAAATAGGCCTATTAACCTCAATTCATTTAAGCCGTCGAAAAATTCGATGTGGCTAAAGGAAGAGTGTACATATGAGGTTTATCGACGTCATAGAAAAGGGCATATTTTCTCATTTCGTGAGATTTTGTCATTATCTATGATCTACTGAAAAGAAAGTAAATAGTTTCGAGTTATTCTAATTCGAAATTCATTGATGCAAAAAAGGCATAACATTCAGCTAAGATACTACTTAAGATAGAAAAAAAATACAAATCAACATGTGTACCTAAAGTCAAAAAACCGTGAAATTCTCTTTCGATTAAAGTTCGTTCCCGTTTTCATTGAATATGACACCAAAGTAATTTATCGTTATGAGCATTCCGATCGAAAAAATAACCTCGATTTTTTTTTGAGATATTATTGGACTCATATATAAAATCTGTGTCGATCACTTGTAATGAACAAAAAATATAATAATCTTTCTTAATTTTTTCCACACAGATTCATGGAACGATACTTTCTGTCGGTTACTGTTCAACGGTCAACAACGAGCTCTGCGTTCTGTTATAATCAAAAGGCCTAAGGGACTTCTATTGTGTAAATTGTTGACTGCTCATCAAGGTCTTCAACATGTTGATCTTGCTCTGCGAACGATTGACGATTTGTTTGTATTACTTGGCGGACTAGTACCAAACGTACAAACCATGATTATTCAACTGCAACAAGCAAAATTATTGAGTAAGTAGACTTGTAATCTTATAGATACTTAGAATCGCTGCAGCAATGCTTTTCTTTCAAAAATTGAGTAAATGATGTCGACCTGATAATGGACTGTTAGGACGCGCAAATCTATTCATGTTGATAATAAACTTCATAGAAAAAATCCTAAAATTGGAACTTAACTTGTATCCAGTATGATTCAGTTACAGTTTTTATACGATCATGTTTTTCCTGTCTAAATTTTCGAATATTATCTCTTTTTTTGGTTCTTTCAATGAACAATTTAATTCGATTTAAAATTTTATTTTTTATAAAATGTTTTGATAACACCATGAACAAAAAAAATGATGAAATCGCTTATGCGAAGCTGAAATAAAATCACAATTCATTCACTCATCAAGTTCTGATAGAATGTTGTCGACTAATTCAATGCTCGCAGAAAATTATTGCATTATTTGACTATTTTACATCATTAATCGTACCTTTTTTTTTTTATAAAGAACACGTGCTATAGCTTATACAAAAAGAGACAGATGGGCAAAAATAATAGAAAGATAAATGATAGTACCTAGTGCGTTGCTTTTTGTTAACAATCATTATTATTCAAATGTTGATACTTTTGAGTTTCCATATTTTTTATAACTTAATCAAATTGAAATATTGTTTTTTCTTCGCATTATAGCCGGTCGTACTCCTAGATGTATGTCTTCATGTTCTCGCCTGATCGAATTCACTCTACTAGATTGTGGAGTCGACCTATTGATCGATGATGTCAAATCTGTGCTGAGATACATGCCAGCACTGTTTATACTGACATTAAGCATTCGTGATACATCTGATCATAGATTTTGTCATGGTCTTACCATGGAATCCATGTTAAATCAATATGCTATTCATCTTCATAAATTTCACTATACAATGACGCATCGAATCAGCGATCAAACATTGGTCGAGTCTTTCATACAATGGCCAATGAATGTCGTTTTCTATGAGAACGAATATATTACTTGGGTGCATATTTTTTCATTACCGTGGCCCTGGGGCCGAGAAGACAAGCGGCAAGTACCTATGTTATCGAGTGAACACAGTACATCAGTCACATCGGATGTCGAACAAGTCAAATACATGAATCAGTTGCATATTACAACTCAGAATGGATTGTGTGAACTCAACACACGTTTCAGTCAAGTTTGTCAACTTACTACTTGTCAGTCAATTGAAAACAGGTTGCCACGACGTATTTACAAACTCATTCTTACTGAACAAGCACGTAAGTCTCTCTTTCTCTTGAGTTTCATAAAGAAAAATGAACAATAAATGATTATAATATTTTATTCTAGCCGCACCATTGATCAACTCGATTTCATCACAACCTTTTATTCGTCATCTTATTATTCAACGTCGTTTGACTGATGAAACCGAAATACCTATTCTAGCTCAACAATTTCCCAATGTTCGCTATTTACAACTATTATTTCCAGTTGACAAATCAGCGTTCCTTCACTGTTTCAAAACTCTCTTCAGTTACGATGATGATACATATGAAAAATTTTGCTTTTGGCCAGAACTGGTGAGTTTTCGCACGATCGGCAACTATGAACAATTTTCAGCGTTGTGGCTCAGCCTCAATGCTAAGGATTGGCTCATTGAGAACACGGGTCTCAAGTTTCGTTCGCTTTCTTTTTGTGCCAAGCATTCAAATCCAGTATTCTCAATCTGGCTTTGATTTTCAACACAAATGGCACATGAAATATTAACTGCACACTTATGTTTATTGATGATATTAGTAGAAAGAGATAAATCTATTCATGTATATTTAATTAGTTTTTCTGTATAAAAATAAATTTCTTTTGTTTAACTTGAATTTTTTCTTCAGTAAAAAGAGGGCGGGGGTATGAGTGTTGCGTCTTGTTTTCATCCATACCCACACCCACACTCTCGATTATGTTCTAGGGTAGCGGTAGAGAGATAGACAAGTATAAAATGTATAGGAGGTGTATGTGATTTACGAGATATAGCAGGTATAGGTGGTTTAGGAGATATAGAATATATAGGGATATCCTGAAGTTACTTGAGAGTCTTTTATTGAGAACAACTTATGGATGATAACTAGATGTAGACCTGTGGTCTTGATCATTCGAAATAGCGATGTTTTGACCATGAATCCATATAATATGCATTAGTACAAAAGATGCTTTTTCATATGCGTTTTTAAATCTGAATTCTTTTTTTTTGGCACTTTTATCGATTGTCACTGTGATCTCGTCCAAAATTACAGCAAAATATAGTTCTCACTGCCCATTTTTCACTATGAAATGATCAGTATTTCTAAAGGCGCATTTGAAAAAAGAGTTTGAAGCAATAATGCATAAAATGATAGTTTTATGGCGAAAATAGGTGGTTTGAAGTATATTTTAGTGTAATTTGACGCTAGATTGATGTGAAAATTCATGAAAATAAGCATAAGCAAGATTGTCGCAAACGAAGCTCGTATAAAGACTATCTGCCGTCGTAGTTAAAATTATAGGAATCGATGGCCCGAGCATTGGTCTTTCGAGTGGTGAAAACCGAAGATGCATATGTAGTTCTTAACAAAAGTTATCTCCAATACAAGAGTATCCGGTGATTTATGGGAAAGACTCACCTCCTCTATCTCCTGTATCTTCTATACGTCCTATACCCAACTTGAAACTTGAAATTTGAAATTTGAAATCTGAATTCCATTGAAATTTCAATTGAATTCAAGTTTCAAGTTTGACACTACTGAATAATTGATTTTCACACAAAACTTTAAAAAATGTTTCCATTTTTATAGAAACTCATGGATAGATGAAGAAAAAAGTCATTTTGATACAATTAAAAATAATAGTGACTTGATCAGAAGATTAGAACACTTCATAATTATAAAAATTTTCTTTTTTTCTCGAAAGCAAATCGATCATTTTCTTTCAGTTATGTATAAAAAAAAACCTTCACATTTTTTAAATAGAAATAAGGCAACAGTTTTCCTGTCCAAGGTTGAATACTTCTGACTATCACTAATTAGAAAATTTCGATAATTTAAGAATTAAACAGATACTTATCAATCTATGAAATAGTAACTATAAATATCTTTCAAATATAATATAATTACAATATGTATGCATGATTAATATTATTTCTCTTTTTTTTTATCAATTGACTCAATAAAACTTTCTTCTAATTCGTATTCGTTCATATATCTAGACTATAACTTACACAAACTTAATCAAGACAAATCTATTCTTATTACGAGGAAATATTTCAGAATAAAATAAAAGTTGATAAAAACGGAATATATATATATGTATTCCTTTCAATTTTGTCCTTTATTTATTTGATTCTAATGTATCATATTTTACTTTTATGATGCCACCACCGCTTGTATTTGACTTTTGTAATGCATACCAAGCAATACTTTTTTTTTTCTGGATCCATATTTGATAAATCAATTTGAAGCTTGAAAACAAAAAAGCATTAAATAAAAATAGCTCTTTATTAATGGCTTTTTTTACTTACATCCCCCATATATGTTCGCTCTTGTTTAAATAAAGATGAGTTATTTTTGATACTTAAATACAGACGTTGTCGACATATTTTCGCTAATGATGCTTGCCATTCAAATCTAAATAATTATCAAAAAAAATAAAATATATACAATATAAAATTTATATTTAATAATTTTGCTTTATTAATCTCTTACAAAGCATCATAGATTGGATTAAGTGTATCATGAATAGATTTTGTTTTCTCTTTATCATGTTTGAAATCCAGTATTAAATAAAGACGTACATATGGATCCGGTAAATTCAGTTGATGAACATTCATAAGTTCTCTAGAAAAAGAAGTTGATTTTTTTTATGAAATTAATTCTTTAAAGAAAACTTACTGGCATGCATGTACTGTTACAGATAAAGCTGAACGATGAATAATATAACGAATACCAATTTTTATAGTACCAAAATTTGTTGATCTTTATGATTTATTTTTAAGAATAATTTTATTACTTCAAGTCAAGATCATCAGCTATTATAAGAGTTTTTTCATCAGCAGTTATACGATTTTCCGATATGGAACGATGAACAATTGGTGACTACAATTTATAGCAAGAGATTAATTGTCCGGCTTGATTTTGTTCATAGTTTCGTAAAGATTATCAATCGATGAATGTCATAGGTTATGTAACATGGTCTTCAAGATTTAAAAATAACTTATTTCTTTTAATTTACAAAGAATTTAATTAATTGATATGAAATTCATACTATAGTTCTGCCAAAATAATCCTTTTTAGAACGTCAAATTCTGTTTCCTTCATTTTATTTTATTATTTTTTAATGCTTTGAACTTAAATATCATACAGAATGGAACTATAATTCATAATATCATTAATAGTATTTTATTTAAGTGTCAAGATAACAGAATTAATAGACGAAAATGAAATATGAATTTCATCGAAAAGACTCTTTCATCAATCTTATATTGTAATGATGGAAATATCATCACTAAAAATTAATATAAACATAGTTATTTACTTCATTTAGTAATGTTTCCTCAATTTTCAGACTACTTATACTCTTTTATTATACTCTTTGACTACGGATTTACGACTTTGTAATGCAGGTTAAAGTATGAAAGCATTATTCAACTATGAAAATTTTTCAAAAAATACTCGATGCCATAGATTTTAAGATAATACCGTAGTGTTTATGAAACATAGAATGATTCTTACAGCTTTCAGATTGTTATAAATAGCAAAGAATTCCTACTAAAACATTACTTTCTGATGAAAGCATCAAACATATCGAAATTCTTTTGAAGAGAATAACTCATAAAAAAAATAATTTTATACATAGCCAAAAACATTAGCTGTTTAAATAATTTAAAACTGAAAATTGGAAAGCACTAAATTGGAATAGTTCATTTTCATTTAAACAATCTTCTAATTATATTCTTCAATAATTACATGTAACTGAACACCAATGATGGTCGAGGTAATGAATCTTACATATTGTTACGATTACTATCTGTTCTTGTAGTTGTTCTTGATGTTGATGGCGTAGCAGATGGTGTTTGTGGTGATGAACTTAAACGAGTTTCACTTGAATGGCCAGGAGATAGAATCTTTTTCAAAGTATAAAACAATAATTAATGATTATTTTTATTCTGTAAAAAAATAGGTCTCTAAAAGAATGCATTTCGATTTCTTTTGATGTTTAAGATTCAATCTAATCGAATTATGCATACAATGAGAAATCCACGAACTCGTAATCAATATGACGCAGCTATAAATTTGAATGAAGTCTAACATTTATTTTGATAGAAAATAATAAAAAGATGAAAATTTATTCAAAGATATCAAGCTAACTTATTGTCCGAATTACGATTTCATAAAAAGCCATTCATTTAAGATACTATTTTGAATAGAATAGATCGTAAACAATTTTTCAATTACTCAAGTTTCAAGTGTGAGAAAACTATATGAATTCCATTTGTCATTTAATTATTGTGTTTATATAGTTTTCTCCGCGTTTAATTTATCCTAAGATTATTGGTACTTTTCGAATGCTGGAAAAAATTTAGTCCATTATGTGTTAAGACTCAATTTTAAAACTTTTCAACTGAAATTTTAATGGCTTTTAAGAAGAATAATATGCATGTCTCTTCAATCCTATTTAATATTTTCGAATCAGTACAAAAATATGAAACGATTGATGTATATTTCAAACATTTTCTACGACGTTTTTTCTCGATCAAATATTCATCTTCACGACCTCTTCAAGGATATGTCAAAAAAAATAAATTGAGTATAATTTTACTATCTGATTATTTGTCACCTATCGTTTTATCATCGAATGACTTTCATAAGTTAAACGGATATTTTTTACTTCTACAATAAATCGCTTACCAAATTCATTTTTCAGATATTACTGAGGGAGCCCCATGGGTAAAAATTAGATCAAGAAAAAAAACTGTAGAAAATGTTTCTAACACTGAAACATGAAATATCAATCTGAAATGTGAAAAAGTTGCCCTAAGGAGGAATGCATGAATTAAAGGTTTTGTCAAGTGACTCATTTGTTTTAGAACATAAAAAGTAATTTATTTTATAAAGTTTAAACAACTCTATTACACACGAAATAAATTAAGTGTAGAGAAAAATTCATTAACACAATCATTAAACGATACATAGGATGCATATAAGTATTTCATACTTGAAACTTAAGCAATCCAAAAATTGTTTATGATCTAAGAAGTATGTTCAAAATAGTATCTTCTATGAATGGTTTTTTTAAGAAATTTTAATTCGGACAATAAGTTATTTTAATATCTTTGAATAACTTTTCATCTTTTCGCCATTTTCTATCAAAAAAAATGTTGACCTTGAAAATAAATCTTATTCAAAGTTATGATGAAATCCAATCGATAATGAACTCATGGTTTTTCATCCTTTACAAAACTCAATTAGACTGGTTGAGAATCATTCTTATAGGCCTACTTAACCCATCTTGTACTTACGAAAAGTGATAAGCGAAGAATAATTTCTGTTTTATCTAATGGTCCAGATACACTTTTCAGTGGATATGTTTGGGTATCGATAGTCATTGTATCAGTATCATAGATTTGTTTAATTGGCATTTCAAAATATGCAATTACTTCATTTCTACTTTGTGCATTACATACATCAATTTTTAATTTTTCATGAAGTGGATTTGCACATAAAAATTGTGATATATGTTCAAATTGTGGATTTGTTTGACTTTCAAATGTTTGAGTTTTAGTTTCAGTACCTTCAACTTTAACTCGACA